GGGAACTTGTTTGGTGACAAAACATCAGGTAAAATTAAAATGATTTACTTTTTATATTTTTCAGTCCAGAAATAAATTTATCATAATTTTTATGAATTTAGTTATTTTACTATGTTTCAAATTTGTCATAATTTTTATGAATTTAGTTATTTTACTATGTTTCATTAAAAGTATTATGTATAAAGTTTTATATAATGTGCCGTGAATTTATATTATTAGTTATTACATTGCGAAGAAAATCGATTTTTTATTGAATTATTTAATTTTAATCGTGAATTTTTTTGATAATAATGAAGGTTGATCGCCATCTTAAAGGGCAATGTCATAGGTTGGCGGTACAAATTGAAAATGGGTACTCTGGAAGTTGTCGAGTCACCAATCTCGATATAGAAAACTCGGTACCACATAACAGCCGCGATGCGTTATCAAAAATGTTAAGAACTGCCTATGAAATGGCTTTAAAACCGAGCATGCCACATAGCCATTTCGAGACGCTGATAAAATGTCAAAGAATTAATGGTGTACTTCTTTTAGAAGGAAAGTGAAACAATAAAGCAGGTTATTGATTTTTTTATAATTTTTACAACCGTTTTTTTCTAAATGATTTTGTATTTTTTTACAACATTTTAATTAACTTGCATTCTTGTAGGTTTTTTATTTATATATTATTTTGGTGTCCGCGCAAACCAAACACGAGGTCAGCATACTAATAAAAGAAATCGTTTAAAAAAGTAACTAAAACAAACAACGCTAAACAGGCTTAAGTTTAGGGATCGTCCCTAAATTATGCAACGCAAAACTTATTTAAAAAATATAAGTTAGAGATCATTTTGCTCTTTGGCGCGGCGATTTTTGCGAGACTTTAAAGGTTGTTTATATACTTAATTTAATTAATGACTTTGCGAGGGGAAAATTTCAATTCTTTGTTTTTTGTCTATAAGTTTAATTTTGCGTTACGTAATTTATAGAGAAATCTTTAAGAAGAGTAATTATAACAAACAACAAACTTTTAGAGCTTTAGTTTAGCGTGAATAAATAGATAATTTTGTTATTGTTGGATAACAAAAAAAAAGTATAAAAAACTCTTTAAAAACAACATTTTAAAAATTGCCTAAAAAGTAAAAAATATATATAAAAAACTGTTTAAAAACAACATTTTAAAAATGGACTAAAAAGTATTTCACGACACTCAAGGACTTTGTGTACATGCGCAACCTGAAATATCCATTAAAGTCAATGACTGAAAATGTTGGGCAACTAAGTACAACTCGTTAATATTGGTGCCCAATATTTTTAGTCATTGACTGTAATGGATATTTCAGTTTGTGTATGTACACATAGTTATTGCGTCCTGTTAAATAGTTTATTTTTTACTTTTTGGCCCATTTTTAAAATGTTGTTTTTAAAAAGTTTTTTTTAAATATTTTTTTTTAATTTCTTTTTTTAGCACGTGAATATATCTCCTGCATTGCTAGTGCTGTAAAAGAAAAAGTTACTAAAATCATCAATGATAAAAGTTTTTTCTCAATTCTCTCCGATGGCTCACAGGCTAGAAAAACGAAGGATGAGAAAGAGTTGATTCTTGTACGCGTTGAACGCGAGGGAACCCCTGCTTACTTTGTAGTATCTTTACTTGATATGAACAATTTGGGTGGTATGGGTGCAAATGCCATTAAAAATGCTATTGACAGCATTTTTAATGAAACAGGTAATATTCCTTTAACTGCAATTCTGGCAAATTAAAAAGCGCGGTTAAAAAAGCTGCTGAGGCTTTGAATATTACTTACTACACCTTGCCTAAAATATCTAAAGTCACAGAAGACGCGGTTTTACAAGACTATTACATAACTGGCCTTCGCTTATTGTGGGCTTTGAAAACGCTCTTGCGGATCGCGACACCAAAGCAGATATGCGTGCTAAGATTTCTGGGATATCCAAACGGTTGCATGAATACAGACTATTATGTATAGTTTGTAGTTATTTGGATATTTAAGAAAAATTATCTCCGTTATCTTTGGTTTTCGAAAAAAAAATGTTAATGGTAAATGAATTAAAACCAGCAGTGGATGTAACTAAGGCTAGTTTAGACAAATTAGGTAATGAAGGTATCGATGATATTATTGATTCATATTTACTAAAGTTCAGAATCAATGAAAAAGATGGTACAACTAATCTTGTTTCTTTATATTTCAAAGAAGGCCATGAATTAAAAAAATCGAATCCAGAGTTCGTTCAGATTGAGCTCGGCAACATGGCTAATCTTAACTTGGAATGTCTTAGTTCTGCCATTAAATTAAGAAAAGCAGCAATTGACATCATTCTGCCATTGATAAATGATAGATTTAGTTCGCTGTTAAATCCAATATTTGAATCAATGGATTGGTTAGATCCACAACTATGGACAGCAGACAGCACGTATGGTGATTTCAGCATATCTTTATTGCTAAAAGAACTCTTTTACCCTCTAGAAGCTGCAGGAATAGAATTTAAAATGGTTTTTTCGGAATGGAAAGCTGCAAAACTAGTAGTAAATACTCAGTACACCATTGTACTCACACCATTGGAAATGTGGCAGAAATTTTTTCTTCATTATAGAATGAAGTTTCCAAAATTTTGTTTTCTAGTTGAACTTATGATGTGTATTTCTGGCTCTAATTCCGTTGTCGAACGCATTTTCAGTATTTTGACTGTAATACTGACTGATCGGCGTTTAAAAATGAACCACTCAACAATGGAAGACTCTATAATAATAGCAGGAAATGACCAGAATTTCACTTACCAAGAGCGAGAAGATATTTTGAGTCGCGCTGGGGATATCTATTTAAGTAAGCGAAGAATTTATCGCCTTGATTCAGCTAATGGTAGCAATGTCACTGATTATAGTAGCGACGAAAGCAGTTACAGTAACGATTTAAGTTCTACATCTGAATCGGACGAATAAACATTTTATTTTACATTTCTTTACTCGTAAGTCACTTTATGTATGTAATTATGTTTGTGTTTTGTTGTGTATGCTTTTGTTTCGTTCATGTATGTTTGTGTTCTGTCTCGACCTCTGGCGCGGTGCTGATCCACTCGTAAGTCACTTTATGTATGTAATTATGTTTGTGTTTTGTTGTGTATGCTTTTGTTTCGTTCATGTATGTTTTTGTTCTGTCTCGACCTCTGGCGCGGTGCTGATCCACTCGTAAGTCACTTTATGTATGTAATTATGTTTGTGTTGTGAAATAATATTGTCTAATGTTGGATATAGCTCCTTAACATGAAGTTTTGTTGAGCTCACTTTTTATGGGATGCGTCATTGCTGTTTGCCCACTACTCTGTAGTGCGTGAACAAAACAGTTTTTTAGTTTTATTGCTTATATTTAGTCCCATAAAATCATTACATTACTGAAGAGTCCTAGAGGACGAAACAATATTGTCTGCTACTCTCGAGTCCTTAATGCAAGGGGGAGGGGCTAGGGGTTGATGGGAATATTATTTTTAAATAAACAACTGCCCCACCAACTTTTATTAAGTACTCGAGAATACATAAATATATATATATATATATATATATATATATATATATATATATATATATATATATATATATATATATATATATAATATATATATATATATATATATATATATTTATATATATATATGTATATATATATATATATATATATATATATATATATATATATATATATATATATATATATATATATATATATATATATATATATAAATATATATATTTATATATATATATATTTATATATATATATATGTATATATATATATATATATATATATATATATATATATATATATATATATATATATATATATATATATATATATATATATGTGTGTGTGTGTGTGTGTGTGTGTCTTGTCGTGTATATGTGTCTTGTCGTGTATATGTTCCTCCGCGAGTTACTTTGTATGCATGTTTGTGTTCAGTAACCAGAAACTTTTTGTATGTTTATTTCATAACGAGTTTTCTCAACTTTGATGATTATTACTGAAAATGCAATTTTTGTTGAAAGTCTTTATGCTTACAAAATAAATAATACATTAGAATATAAACAGAAACCCAAAATTACATAAATTACATAATTTTTAAACAAAAAATAGGAATATACTAATAAAGTCTATAATTTATAAAAAAATTTTAAAATTTTGACAATTTAAAAAATATATATTATAAAACATTTATTTTAGTAAACAAATAATAATAGCTAAAAAGATTTACGGCTTTGCAGATGTGGCTCTAAGAATGAGCCATAGTATTAAAATAATAATTCGTTTGATAATATATTCTTAAAACAATTTATGCTAGAAATCTTACAACTTAACAAATCTTGAACGATACAATTTTAAAAGAATATTCTAGAACTTTTTTTCGCTTAATAAGCGTATTTTTTGAACCAATAGAATTAGTTTGTTCGTAAACTTGGCGGGTTTTTTAGTGTTAGCTTTTTATACTTCGGCACTAAAATGTTTTGAGAACATTTAAGTTTATGTATGTTTCCATGTATGTCCGTAAAACAAAACATTTTTGTTTTACGGAAACACATAAACTTGAATGTTCTCAAAACGACTGAATAACGTGGCCAGATTTTCGCAACTAAATATAATTTCCGTGGTCAGTATTCGAGAGCGATCGCTCCCGCTTCCCGACCAAGCCTGGGTTATGATAAATTTTGGGCTGGTATTTACGTAATCAGTCTAAAAAATTTTAAAGAAATTTCAAAACATAATCAAATTTTTGTCAATTCAACACAAAAAATCATGTGCAATGATAACATGATCGGACTTTTATATCAACATTAGATCTTTCAATATTAGTTAAATAATGTATATATCAAAAAGTAGTCACCATGTTGTCATAAAGAACTACCTTTTGTCCAGAAATTTTACAATAATAGTATTAATGACTTAAAACTAGTCGCAAATATATTTAATTATTTGAATCTTTTAAAATACACTATTTACTCATTACATACCACTACTTTTGACTATTCTTTTATTTGCCATATATTTATAAAGTCCACATCTTCTGCATTGATAGTATGACACTTTCCGACCATCTTTATCAAACTTTTCACCAGATGATAAAACATATTGTCTTGCCTTATTACTTTTGATATCCGATTTCCACATGTCAAAATCCTAGAATAATTACAAATCAATAATTCAAACTAATTTAAAAAGAAAAGTAAAGAGAGACAATTAAATTAAATACAATTATCATTTATTTACATTATGAATAAAATAATAATTCATGAGTAACTAGCATCAACTTAAACAGTTACTGGCGTCAAACTTGAAATAAAGGAATACTTAAAACACTAACGTACTTAAATATATTTTTAAATCTACTCATTTAACCAATATTATTTGAAAATTGATTATTTTATATATCAAAACTATTTTAAATGATTTTGAAATATGAAGTGACAACAAAATTAAGAAAATAGAAAAAACAAATGTAAACAAAAAATTTGATAATTAGTGTGTTTTCTAAACTATAATTAAGTAAGGCATTTTTAAAATAAAATAAAATAAAGCATTACCTTTAACATTAGCAAATGATAATTTTTCTTTCTGAAAAGTATAAAGGTGAACTGCAGATGGTTTTTTAAATGCTTTTTTTAAACCATTAATTTGTCTGCACTGAAATCCACACTGGAGACACAAAGAATTTCCTGATTAATGATATGCTTGAGCTTCATCAATTGATTTGTGCTTATTTTTTATATGTCGCTGCAAGTTCTTTTTTGGGTAAAGGAGACATCACAAAATGCACATTTTAGAGATAAAAAATTGGTATGTTTTATATTTATGATTTTTTTTCATTTAATTTGGGTTCCATTACATTTGCGTTTATCACATATTCATCAGAATCATATAATTCAAAACTGCTAAATACTTCACGAACAATAGTTGTAGAAATAACTAAATCCAGATAATTTCTTTGCTAATAAGCCATGACATTAAAACTAACCTTAAATATTTAGAGTATTTAGTAGGCTCTTTTAGAATAATGTAACTATTGTTCTCTATTTTATCTTTACTTATAATATGGTTAAAATAATCATACTGTAAACAAGAGATTACACATATTATTATGTTAATTACTCCACGGATAATCCCACAAGTTTGCATTGGATAGTATTCTCTGCATAAAGAACTGCATTTTTTAACTCCATTCCTATGAATTCTTGGGTCATGACAGTAAATGATGTCAAAGCTTTTATTTATGATATACAGTTTTCTGATTAACAATTTGACTTAAAATAAAAAATCATATAGAACTGACCAACCCATAGAACCACCATTGTAAAAATCACCCTTGATACTATTATAAACTGCAAATGTCCAGTGGCTACCTTGATTTATTTCTGTGTCAGAGAATGTTTTCTCATTGTTTCCTCCAACATTTATAATAAAAATCAATTTTTCTTGGACTGCAGTTATTCTTGAAACATAATGTTCAATATTTCCTATAAAATTAAAGTAAATTACCTTTGAATGGCTTTGGATAGAATTTAAAATACTGAAAAAATGCAGCATATGATCTGATGAGAGCCATCTAGTACAGCATAACTCAGATAAAGTGTTGGGGTTCATTCCATATTCTGAAATATCTCAACTAGCTGGCGTTCTAAAAAGCACATCTTTGAACTTTTTAAATAAATTTTGAAGTGGAAAAATATCAATTGATTTTGGTACAAACTTTGAAGAATTAAACAATGTTAGCTCTTGATCAACTGCTAATTTATTTTCTTGAACCCTATAAAGTACTATTAGATGCTGAACACTTTCGATATACTTTTATAAACTTTTTAAGATTTACTTAGATAACTTTTACTAGATAAACTTTTTAAGATTTCATTCTATATAATGGATTCTATTGGCAATATTGTTGCGCAGAGATAGTTCAGTAGACCATTTTATTAATTGATGTTAAGGTGGCAAACATTTAAGGGAAAAAACATCTTTAATTTTTTCAACAGAAAGCTTGCTTGTTTTGATAGAATATTCGTGAACAATTTTTTAAAACTATTTTGGAGACTCGTATGCATTTTCTCGATTATAATTGTTGATCGTAATCTGATTAAGCTTTATTTTGTTTGGTGATAATCTTCCAGATGCCTTAAACAAAAAAATCGTTATTTAGAAGTAAAATAAGATAAAAAAAATAAATAATTAAAAAAAATACCATTAAATAAATCATTAAATAAAGCAGAACTAACTTACCATCGTTATCGCGTGTTAGAAATTAGAATCTAATAGCGTGCTCCATCGCATATATATTACATATATATGTATATCCATACAAGGCATAAAGTTAAATTAGTCGGGCAAACAAGAAAATTGTTTTACGGACTCTATAAAAAAGTTTTTTCCATCCAATCAAAATAGGGAGACTTTCCGCTTCTTAAAAAAGCAACACAAGGCCTTATGAATAACTTGGAAAGCTGCGCATGCGTACTTGAGTTTTCAAAATGCAATACGAACGGTCGAACTTGTTATATAGACGTTGAATTAAGGTGGAATCAATGTCTATATGACGAGGCGACTAAAAATCAACTGTAAATCAACGTCGAAATAACGTCGTGTACCCACCGGGTCTTCATTAGTGTCAAGATATTTAGGAAAATTGAATTTCAAGTAAAAAAAGGAAATTTAAGTAAATACTAGCAAATTACCGTATACTAAAAAATATTTAAATGAAGAGGTCAAACAAATAATACAGAAATGGTCTAAATTGAACAGACTTAACAAGACCCTGGTCCGGTCAGCTTGGTTTACAAATTTTATGTCTACTTATCTGCTACAAATTTAGGTTTGTCATATGACGCATTAATGCAATATAAAAAATCAGAGTTTACATATTTTTTTTTTTAATTTTTTAAATACAAATGTTTAATTTTAAATTAATTTTTTTTTGTTTGAAACGTATTTGCACTCAGTCGCTTAGTTATTTACAAACTTAGTTATTTTTAATAAATCTGTTTAGTTGTGTGCATTTAATGTTTTAAGTTAACAATTTTCTTTTCTAAAGAAAAATCAATCAAGGGGAAACCAAAAATTTGATAACTCCATTATAATATAAGTTAACTTCATCTTAATCTTATTAGTTCATGTTATTAAAATTATTACAAAGATTTAGTTGATACATTCGTCAATTTAAAGCATTTGCGTATTGTGTGAACTAAGGAATGTAGAAGAAAATGAATTTGCTTTACACTGTTAATGTCAGTCGTAAATTTCTCAAATAATGTTAAGTAGTAATTGTAAATGTTATGTTGTAGTTAATAAATTATTTTACCTCCTCATTCATTTTATGTTAATTTTAAAGATGGATTAATTTTTTCAACTTAAAAATATTAATCCATCTTAACCCGTATTATTGGTTGCTTTTTGCTCGTTTGTTATAAAGCTACGTATTTAACTAACACTTCTTTATCGAAAAATTTCCGGCTTTTTTATTAGCTTTTTTATTTTGACTAATTTAAAATTGTCAACCGTCTTATTGTTGAATGTTTAAAGTATATTATTGTAAATAAAATAACATTAACAACTGTTGGTTTACAAAACAATTGTTATTTATTATGGCTTATAATAAATTTTGCAGTTTAAAAATATTTAGTTGGTTACTTAAAAACTTATTGTTTTTTATTTGCTTTTTCTTTAAATTCGCAGTACGTAATGACAATTAATGGAAAAACTTTTTTTACATTTTATAAAGCACTGAATTTCCATAAAGTGTCAGAATGCAGTATCAAACTTTAATTTTTATGTTTATAAAATAGTTTTAATTTTACTATCGAAAAAGTTTAGTTTTAAAAAATATATTTATTTTTAATAAAAAAAAATAATAAAAGATAAAATAAAAGTAAATTTATTCTTACAAATAGCTTTTTTATGTTTTTTAAAGCCAACTAAAATTAAAATGGAAAGCTCGGATCTGGAAAAGTATGGTGGATACAATGCGCAGTTTTTACATGAGCTTTTAGATGATTATGAATGCCCTGTATGTAGTATGGCTCTTCGTGAACCTGTTTTAACTCTGTGTGGTCATCGACTTTGTTTTTCATGCTCAGAAGAAATAAAAAAAAGGTATTGAAATGAGTTAAAAGTTCTGTAATACGGTATGCATGTATGTATATATATATATATATATATATATATATATATATATATATATATATATATATATATATATATATATATATATATATATATATATAAGAGTGAGAGAGAGTGAAAGGAAGAGGGAGAGAAAGAGAGAGAAAAAGAGAGAGAGAGAAAAAAAGAGAGAGAGAGAGAGTGAGAAAAAGAAATAGAGAGAGTGAGAGAAAGGCAATAAATGCTATGCATTTAACACACCTTTTTGCGTTGTTGATGTAATACTTGATACCGAGTTAATGAATAACTGTATTATTTATATGATATTATTATTTATATAACAAAACTAAAACTAAAATACAAAAACTTTTCTTATTTAGAAACTATGGAGTTTTAGTTTGCCCATTAGACAAAACCATTTTGAATTCTGAGAAGGTTAATTTATTTTTCAAAATATAATAATTTAGTCTACTTAATAAAAAATATATATTTTGGGCTGTCCATTAATTACGTCAACAAAATAAGGGGAAGGAGGGCCTGAATTTTTTTGATAGTTGTTGACAAGGTGGAGAGGGGAGGTCATGAAAAGTTGATGTCAACACATAATTTTTTTTGAACATGTAACTTTTTTTTATAAATTTAACTTTTTAGAAAAAGGAAAACTAGGCAGCGTTTGCAGTCCTGTGTTACACAGTTGCTCAACCTTCAGTATTTTTATTCCAATCCTGTAATTTATATTTCTAATTTTGAAAAACCGTTTTGTGCTTTAAAAGACCCTACATACAGAACTAAATAACTAAACACAAGATGTTTGCTCGTAACGGTATTACTTTTTTAAAGTTATCGTTGTCTCTGTCTGCTGTGCATTCAAAAAGATTCATGTAAGTACATTGTTTACAATTACATTGTTTTAACGTTTATACAAGAGGTGCAATCTGTAGCTCGCAAGTCTTTTGTGATTTTTCTAATATTCGATATCAAGATTTTTTTAACTGCACCTTTTCATTGCTCAGATCTTTAGCTGCATCTTTTCATTGAAATACAAATATCTTGACACAAATATCAGTATAATTAGGGATGCGGTATCTCAAAAGGACTCCGGTTTAATATCTCTATTTTTTACTGGTCTCTGGTGTCTAAAAGCTCTGATTATGTTGGTTGATTTATAATCTGGTAAATAAAAAAAACTCAATATTTAATGACTTGAAACATATTGTTTTTAAGCCCGGAGTCTCAGAGTCCTAACCTAGTCCTAACCTATGGACTCCGGATTCAAAGAGAGATTGTTTCTCTAACCTAAAAGTCTTAAATTTTTTACCAATAGTAATCCATAAGCATTTTTATATTACTAGAGCTCCTGGATACCAAAAACTAGGAAGAAGTAATCTTTTTGTGACATTTAAATCCGGAGTCTTTCTCGGGACTCCGCATCACTAAATATAATAATAAAATAAAGATGTTGGTAGGTCTTTAAAAACTGAAAAACTTTGTATATTGTAACTTTTGGCTCTTTTGTCTCAAATGGTTGCCAACCCCTGGTTTATACAATTTGTTAAATGCTTTTTTTGTTATTCTAGACTCTATTAAAAATAATTTGCTTTCAATATAAACTTTTATTAGGTCTAATATTAAAGTGAGGAGAATTCTATAATTTGAAATATGATTATAATTTAAACGTGTAAACATTTTTGTGAACCCTTTAATCTTTTTATCCTTAAGGTGGTAACCCCAAGAAATAAAAGTCAATTTAAAAAAAAAAAAGAAAAGTTTTAAGTTTGGTTCATTAGTTTTTTGCTCATAGAATACAAAAACTTTTAATGCAAAATTTTAACTTTGAGTGATAATAATTTAGGTTTGTATGAACCTAAAATAATTATGAAATAATTTAGTAGTTTGTAATGTCCACGACAACAACATAGCAACCAATATATAAACAAAAATATTTTCAATAACAGCAAAAATCTATGTATTTTAAACATAAAAAAATATTTGAGTATTATAGCCTATCTTGTTTATTTTTTCAAGCAGAAGTTTGTTTTAAAAAGAAAAGAACTAATGTTCACCTTCTTAATCGTTGTAAAAATGATCGGCAAACAAATTTTTACTCAACACAACATCTACCGAGTCCGAGTGGTTTTTTGTCTGTATTATCAGAGTTTAGTCTTTTCGGCTATGCAACGTCACCCATTGCAAAGCAAAAAATTTCTACTCACTTACGATGAGGGCCACCGAGAGCTTTTGTGGCGCCCGGGGCATAGCGTTTAGTAGGCGCCCCTTTAAACATACATAATTTTAAAAAAAGTTTATCGAATTCATTCATGCATAATTATGACTGTTTTAAAATGAATTTTCTTAATTGTGGTTTATTTCTGTTAAAATCATTTTACGGCAAAAATTTTCAAAAAATGCATCTATTAAAAATACAACTAAGCAACGTAAAGTGTATTATTAAACATACTTTATAAATTATAAAAACAATAAACGGCCTATATAAAACACTTTTTTCTTGTTTTTTTTTTTACCGGCAAATTTTATTATCGTATGATCATATGAAAGAGTTTTAGCCATTTCATTTTTCATTGAAAATATTATGAGATCCAAAATACGTTCTTGCCCCAGAGTGGCCCTACAATAATTCTTTATCAATTTTAGTTTACTAAAGGATCGTTCACCCTCTGCAACAGATACTGGCATTGTATTAAAAGTTCGAATTAGAATGCATATATATTTGGAAAAATAGGCTGCAGACTCTTTGAATGTATTTGATTAAGAAGGTTCAATGAGTTTCTTGGAATAAAACGGACTCCTTCAAACAATTAAAATGCAAAATTTCTTGTATAAAGTTGTCTTCTTTGATATTCACGAGCTTTGATCTCTTGAGAATCTGGTTTCTGGTATTTTAGCCAGTTGATTGAGAACCTTTAAAAAACACTCTTTGCTATATCGAATTTTGACTGAGTTTGATAAATAAAATGATAAAGAGACGTTAAAGATGTTTCACTCAACGTTAAACGTTAAAGATTTTCCACTTAAATTGATGCTCGGGACTCTGATTGCAGAACACTGTATTTTCAAGTTGTGATACCGTTTCACTCTCTTCTTTCGCTTTGCCAAAAATTCCGTTTCAAAGCCTAGAGGACCTGCAACAGCTCTCGCTTCAGTCAAAATATTATTCCTTGATTAGCTGATACGGCCAAGATTGCTTATTAGCTGTTGAATTAGAATAACTTCGACATCTATTTTTAGTGAAGTTTCCTGGAACAAACGGCTTACTTAATCGACTACTTGAAGAACTTTAAATCAAAAGGTCAGAAGCACAACAGTCTCAAAGGATTTATAAAAATTTATCAGACCTAGCTTGATTAAGCATTTACTTATTTATTCATTTTAACCTTCTTTTACTTTTACTTTTTTTAATTTTTATACCTTCAAATTAATTTTTTAATTAATTCTTTTTTTTTCTTTTTGCTTTTTACCTTTAAATAAGCAGATTTGCTTATTGAGATGCAATTGCATAGAGTGACATTGAAATATGCAGTTTAATACTTTCGTAAGATTATATGCCAAAATGAAATACGTCGTTACTTTCGAATTATGCATATATACAAAAACAGTTCTCTCTAAAAGCAAACTCACTGCACTAAACATAATAATCCGTGAACATGAAAAACGCCATTGTAAATTAATTAAACTTCTAATTTATTTAATCAAATTATGCTATAAAAACATCATATTAAATCACAAAACATTGAAATTAAAAGGTAAACATTGTATGACACTTGAAAAAAAAATTAAAATTTCGGCGCCCCTATTATCTTGGCGCCCGGGGAACATATGCCTTCTTCCTCCCCCCCTCCCCTCTCAGCAACCCTGCTTACGATTGTCAATAATAAAATCTATACCCCAAGCAATAAAGAGACGTAAACAGTTAAAAAGTATTAAAATAAGATACTCAAATAAAGTTAAAAAAACTGAAAAAATTTCATACAATCCTGGAGGTTTTTAATTTATTATTTTTATTCCAGAAAATATATTTTTTTAATGCTTTTTGAGAAATGATAACTTTTCAAATAATTATGCAAAAGTGCTGAAATTTTCACAAATTGTTCTTTATATTATTAAAATTCATTTGAGAAAGAATTTTTTTTCAATTAGTTTGAGATCTTAAAATTTTGTAACATTAGTGTTTTAAAGCTCGCTTATTTTTTAGTGTTTCTTGCATAATTATGTAAAATATTCATTTTTTCATTTATTTTCTCGCAAATGAGTTATGTACCATGATTTAAAAATGTTCAAAGTTTCTTTCTAAAATGACTAGTAAAATATGAGTAATTACTTCATAAAATTTCGGTTATTTTCTGTTTTTTAGGGGTAATCGAGGCAAAGAATTTCAAATTTGATTGCATTTTTGAAAATTTTTTTTAACTATATATTTATGTTGTAAAAATGAAAGTGTGCTCTAGTTCCAATCAGATTTTACAATATTTCTTGGGGTACAAAAAAGGGCATTTTTATATTTTTAAACTGGAATTATGTTTATAAGTTAAAAGTTTATAGGGGGTTCACTGAAAGTTTGACAAGTTGTTAACGAGGGGAAGGGGAAGGAAAAAAATTGCCGAAAAACTGTTGACGTAACTAATGGACAGCCCTTTTTTTATTAAAAGAATGCTTCATAAAAAAATTGATAATTTTTTTTTTTTATAGGTTTTTCCTGATAAATTTACTGAAAGAGCTATTCTGCAACTAAAAGTTAAATGTGATAATTTTTTAAAAAGTTGTCAATGGACCGGAGAACTAAAAACAATTAATGTATGTTTTTCAAATTTTGATGTAAAATATAAAATACTTAACTCTAGATTTTTTCAAACAAGAAACATTTCAGCAAAAATTTTTATTATTTTTTACTATTTTGAAAATAAGTTATAAAGCATAAATTAATAGTTTAATTATATAATAACGTAGACCGTGATTTTCTGATTCAACAGAGTATACTATTTTAGTCACTAAGAAAAGTACATAGATGCAATAAAGAATTTAAAGCGCTAGGGGTTTAATGCAGGAAGCAAACTTAAGTAAAGTATGACAATATTTCGAAGTCTGTTTTGTCAAGCTAGTTTAAAAAAAGCTTGAGCAATTGTCTAAACTAAATTTGAAAATTTCAATATTAAGTTTGAAAAGTTCATACTTAAAAAACTTAAATGGCGTTGATTTGATTAATGCAAATTAACTATGTTTTTAAATTATGTATAAGAATTTTAGGCTTAATAATTTTAATTTACACAAGTTTACTAAAAGTTGTTACAAAAAAAACAATTTCTACTTTTATATTTTTTTAATTAAAACTACGTAATATTAAAGAAACCAACAAATTTTAGGTAAACATGCTAGTGTTACCATCCAACTAGTCTAAGTCTCTATGACGTCACACCTGTTTTACATGGAAATGGTAGGGCAAAGTCAGGTAGCGCCAGACACTTAAAAGAAAATAGATTTTACACATGTACTTACAGAAAATAAAAACTTTTTTAAAAATATAAACATAATTATATTGAATTAGAACTAAAAAAATAATTATTGTGTACCTTAACATACATAACATAAAAGAAAAAATGATTAAAAAAAGCCGTGTTTCAAAATAGAAGTGTATCCTTTATTCGAAGGGAGTGTATTGGAGGGTAGTTTAATCATAATTTTATATCTATACTACTCTTGTAACACAAATAAAATATATAATTAGTAAGCATTGAAATTTTCTTAACACTCTGAAATAAAATTGACTTTAAAAATCGTTTTTTTCAATGTAAGTAACGGGAATGAAAGTGCTATCATTTAGAATTATAAAAGTTAGCATTTAACTAAGGAAAACAAACACTTGAATTTCATTTTTTTTAAATCTTAGGTCTTTATATTAGAATTAAATGAGTTACTGCTATGGGTTTATGTATTGTATTAAGTATATTATTATTGGTATAAAAAGGTTACTCATTTAAGTATTTAAATGGGTTAAGTTAACCATCATCCAAACATGTGTTCGATTCAACACAGTCATACCTTATTAACAATCACTTGTTTTAAAGTTTGTGAATTAAAGTACTTAACGATATTGTTTTAATAATACTTAAAAATAAAAGTAATTATCTTTATTTGTATATATATATATATATATATATATATATATATATATATATATATATATATATATATATATATATATACATATATTTATATATATATATATAAATATATATATATATATATATATATATATATATATATATATATATATATATATATATATATATATATATATATATATATATATATATACACATATATATATATATATATACATATATATATATATATATATATATATATATATATATATATATATATATATATATATATATATATATATATATATATATATATATATATATATATATATATATATATATATATATATATATATATATAAGTATTTATCTTATATTGTAATTATCTTTACTTAATAAAAAGTAATAAGTTTACATAAAAGATATATTAATATGTGAATCAAATACGTTCTTTTGGTGGTGTGAAACAATATCTTTTACTCCCAGCCAATCGCTTTGGTTTATTTTGAAAGATATTTTACGTTTGCCAAATATTAAGTAAAATAATATTTTTATAGTAATTAAAATCGTATAGCTTCTTTATTTTAAGCTTTACATTAAATGTCCGAGATACCCGCCGTCCTGGGCTAATCCAGACTTTTCACCCGACTTTGTTTTTTTTTTTTCAGACTTTCACCCGACTTTTTTTCACTACCCGACTTTTACCTATTAGTGCTTCATTATATATGCTATGCACCAAAGTATATAAGTTGGACAAAAGATTGTTAATATTTATTTTTCTTATTAAAAACATTTTTGTTCGAAAAAGAAAGTTCAAACCCAATAAGATTGCAAGCAATTACTAATTATATTGGGAGTTAACAGAAATTAAAAATGAAGATAAATAGCAAAAATATGATTGACAGAAGAAATAAAAACTGGAAGCTATAAAGCAAAGATGAAAATGAAATTTATTTACATAGCACGGATGTTTAAAAAAAAAAACTAAATGAATAGAAGTTTTTTAAGCATAAAGAAACAATTGTAATAAATGAGTCTAATATATTAAAATAATAAATTACGCAAGATTGCGTTTTGATTGATTGAACAAGTATAATGTTTGCAAGATTAGCAAACATAGCAATGTTTGTAAAAAAAAAAAAAAAGCTAAATATAAGCCTCTGATTAGTTGTCTTTTAAAAATCAATCAGACTCATGCTTAGTAGTTTGAGCAGGTTTTAGCAGTTTTAGCAGGTTCAACAAAATTTATAATGCTTCTTAAGACCATGGCTGTCAGATAAACAACATAAATAAACGAAATAGGTCAATGTGGCAAAAATACTCTATACAAGGATAACTAAGATATATCTGGATATCAAAAACATCAGTTGTAGTAAACATCAGTTGTAGTAAACATCAGTTGTAGTAAAAACGATTGAAAGTAGTAAGATTTTATCTACTGAGCAACTTAACCATTCTGTTATCAAGTTAACTGTAAAATAGTTAACAGGTTAGCTGTAAAACAAGCGGATCAAAACGTTTGTTTATCAACAAGGTATTAAAAAATAAAATGTGCAAAAAAATATGGTTTTTACCATATTTTTTTGAACTCAAAAAACAGGGTTGTTTTCTTCTCCTAAAGCACTTGCCAATTTTATATAAACTTTTGATTAAACTTGGAATATTCGCATTATTAACATTTTTTGAGTTTGATACATTTTTAATGCGGTTTTACAAGTACGATTAACGTCATAATATATTCCAATGTCCATTGGCTGCAAAATATGAGATAAATTGATTGGCAGGCAGACCACTCAGGCGGTTTTTTTTTTGATTTTTAATAACTTTTAATAGCATATAAGTGCTTTGAATGCAATACAAGTTTTCTTTATACGCCAATCAATTTAACTGCCGGGATGAACAACCGTTCCAACCATTCAAAAATTGCAATTTCACCATCCATTGTAACACTGATTTTGTATACACTGTGCCTTTCGAACCGTTTTTGAATTATGATTGATATAAATTTCTTTTGATTTATAAACGATGAAAGGATGTAAGTAAAAGGCTAATGCACTAGTACATTTGTTTATGGTGTAATCATAAACAAATAAAAAAAGTAAAAATCGCGCTATTAAAAGCGCGCTAAATACGTTTTCGGCATAATATTGAAATTTTGCCTAGATCGTTACTGAAACCACAATTATCGCGGTTCCATATATGTGAAGCATTTACAGGATTATTCAAAATTATAAAGTGCTTTATACAAAATTATAAAGTGTTTTATGCAAAATTATAAAGTGTTTTACGCAAAATTATAAAGTGCTTTATGCAAAATTATGAAGTGCTTTATGCAAAATTATAAAGTGTTTTATTTAACAATAAATAAATGCCACTATAATGGTACAGGTCATTTTCAGAATCATCTAAGAATGCATAGGAATTAAAATACAATATTAAATTGTAATTAAAAATTAAATGACTAACTGGCTGAAAAATATAAACCAAATCAGTAACGTTTTTATCTAATTAATGCAACTTTTTAAAATTAATGTTAAAAAATAAAAATTTAAAACCTTACATGGCAAGAAAAAGTTGAATAGCGATAACTAACGAACTTCATGAAACAATTATAAACATGTCTAATTCGATGAATAATCATTCAACCAAATACATTGCCGAAACTTTAAACATTAGCCTAAGTGCTGTAAAAAACTGCATAAGAAATCATCAAGAAGGCATCAAATTTGCTACTAAGGGAGAACGCCACAAGCAAACAATCAAAAACAAAAATTTGTTGTTCAGTGAAATCGAAAATACTTTATTTAATACGATAGCAATAAATAATGAACTGACACAAAATGAAATGGTAAATGAAGTTAATGCAGCAACCGGTATGGTAATATCTCAATCAACAGTATCAAGGAAATTGCGAAAAATAAATATAACGCAAAAAAGGCTTTCATTGGTTTCCCGAAGAACGAAATTCCCCAGCAAATATTGAAAAAAGGGCCATATATGCCCGCCGTATCTCGCGTATTTCTAGTGATAAATTGGTCTTTTTAGACGAATCAGGATTTAATCAGCATTTGAGAAGACGATATGGATATTCCCAAAAAAATGAAAAGGCATATTCTATTGTTTCCGGAAACAGAAATACAAATCGAAGTTTGATGTGTGCAATAAATATTTCTGGTGTTGTTGCTTATGAATTAAGAACTGGAGCATATAATGCTGAAAGCTTTGAGAGATTTATAAGAAATAACCTGCGTAATTATTTCCGACAAAACCCAGACCATATACTGATAATGGATATTGTTCCATTTCACAGATCAAGAATTATTATAGAAGTTTTAAATGAATTAAGAATAAATAGAGAATATTTACCGGCATGGCATCCTCAATTAAATCCCATCGAGGAATTTTTTAGCATGATAAAGGTAAGATATCGCGGAATAAAAGCTTTAAATAATGAAATTTATATTAGTGATGCATTGGAAATAATTTTTAATCGAATGAATGAAATTAACGAAGATATAAGTGGATTTTGGAGATCAATGGAAGGATGGTTGGAAATAGCTAAACAAAACATGATTTTTGAATAAAGTAGCTTAAATTAATATATATTTTTTGAAGTCTAAATGTTAAATGACATGAGCTTATATATAAATAAATCATATATTCAAACTTTTTTATGCTTTAAATGGATTTATT